TACATACATACATACATACATACATACATACATACATACAAACGAACAGACACACCAAACTTGTGGATTATATATAGAGAGATAATAAGTAGAGCTGTAAACTCGTTACACACATAGACTCGTTAGAAATGTTCGAAGTAGCCACCCATCATGACAATCCCAGTGACATGAGCAATTGCGATGAGTACAATTCTCAAGAACGAGTAGATCTCCTAGGCTTTGCGAATGTGATATGCGTTCTCAACTGGAGGAAGAAGCGATCGCAGCAGTCCGTGAATTTTCGTACGCTGTGCAGTGGATATGTATTTCGGAAATGCTGCCACGCACGAATGAACTGTTATTCCTGAATCTGACGACATTAGAACATACTACATACTGTATTGAACTGACAGGTGTGTTGCATTGCTCATCGAGATTAGAGCCAATAATTGCATCCATTCTCTAATGAGTGATTCTTGAAACTAGTTATGAGAAGCAAAAATCCAATCAGTAAACTGACAACGGAAGAATGATTGGTCGCAGTGGCCGTCCAAGGTGAGATACCGCCGAATAGCTCGAACGCTGATCTCAAATCTGCGTTCCACATCTGTTAAAAGGACTTTGGGAACAAAGTTACGAAGTTGATTCTCTCTGTGTTATATCACTGTATTGAACAGATAACCAAACCGAGCAGGTTCGTTGCTGTGAGCGATGGCGCAGGTGGGGTAGGATGGTGAACTGTAGGCATGGAGGTAAAATGAAGGTAAAATGGAGGGGGTCGATTGACTCATCTGACCAGAGTTCTCTTTGGAATGGATACTTGCCTCACATTGACCTCACATTCGAGGAATACTGCCCTTGTTTCGAAGCGGTGCCACAATAAGTGGTATTTCTGAAATAATACCATTAACAGGAGTTGTTCAATTCATGTACATAAATGATCACACACTAATTGCTAAGAAAACCTTTCTCAAGGTAAACGTGGAGATGTGGTAGGATACGGTGCCATGGCTTGGCTCAAAACCTTGCATTCTCCTGAAACGTGCTTTGAAGTTACTTTTTGTGAGGCTTATACATGATTTTCAGCATCATGCAAATTTACTTACCGCCGTGCAGTGGGTTTCCTATGGATAACTTTCATGCTTCTTCGCTAATCTCCATAAGCTGACATCGACCTGCTTGAATTGCGATTGATAGTCACCACCAAATGAGACATAATCTGTCGTAGTCTAGTTTGAAAGTGCAAGGTCTCCTGTACTTCCCTTGATTTCCGTGCTTGACACTTGGTCGTGATGAATTAAAACTTGCATTCTTTTTTGGCAGTCAAACTATAGGGGGCATTGAGCCTCCCTGCATCCACCATAAAATTAAATATCATAGGTCGAATGACAGAATTGGAAGTTGCGTTTTTTTTTTTTGAAATATCTATATCCCTGGAGGTAAGAGGTTCCTCTGGCGATGTGATATATCCGTCGTCGTTGTTGTCATCAGAGGATCGTTGTGAACGTATTTCACGCACTCGTCTTGAATCGTGTAACAAAGCTTCAGAAGCGCGCCACCGTTGCAACGTATATGGCTCATTTCGGTTATACGCGAAAAGGTGGGGTCCGTAACCTTGATCCCAGAAAAATTAAGCAGAGTCGGAACGCAGAGTTTAGGTCGGGTCGGAATCTTCTCCCCGAAAACGGTGTCGCGCACGCCGGACCCCCTCGTATCGCAAGATTGGAGCGCGCAGTTTGTGAGGTAGGGAGTCCTTTAATTATTTTAATTGGCTGGCCTCTCCCTTCAATTCCAATGCGGTCTCGATCTCCGCTAATATAAGAAGAGTCATTCTAATTAATCAAGTCCAATAAACATAAAAACGATAAAGAAACAGGAAAAACCATCAAATCTAATAAAAAAGAAAGGCAATCAACGAAGAATATTGTGTCCTATCGATTGGCAGGGAGGCGGGAGAGTACGGTAATCGGGGTATGGGTACTTACGTGCGTCCGAGGATGCGCGCGGCAAATCGCGCGGCGAAGTGCGTGGTGATTCGAACGACTCTGGCGCCTAGCATTGGGGCCCAAACTCGAAGTAGAGTAGTTTAGTAGGGTAAGCTGATACTACTGACCTACTCTACTTCAAATTTGGGCCCCAATGATAGGCGCCAGAGTCGTTCGAATCCCCACGCACTTCGCCGCGCAGTTTGCCGCGCGCATCCTCGGACGCACGTAAGTTCCGTCCTCCCGGTAATTGCAGTGACATTTGCCGCATGCAGCAAGGGGGAATGCCGCAATCGGGTAGGAGTTCCGTTACCCGTTTTAGATCAGCTTTCGGTACGGCGAGATACATCTCATCTTAAATGTCCACTGCGGCCAAGTATCCTTCCTTATAAGTACTTCTGCTTCGAGATAAGATTGGAGTTGTTCTTTTCGAAGAAGGTTCAGGCCATTACGGTGCAGTCTCTTCAGTACATCCCAAAAGCTGTTTCCAGGAATACATACATTCCTTATGACTATCGTGAGACTTTTTGAATTTTGTCGTTGGTAAGTTATCTCCAAACTTGCCTCGCATTTGTTATTTAGCATTTTGCTGTTTATGTCAGACATAGCGTCAATATTAATGTGACTTCATCACCCTTTGGAGGAGTTGATGTAAAAATTCACATGAAAGTTATGTGAGACTTGCGGTGTTCCGTTATGCTAAGTTTAATAGTGCGTTTTTCCTCGATTTTTTGCTTGAACACTAGTTTCTTTAAACTTCTATAACACGTTGACGACATTGTTGCGCAATGGTGCGCGACAGCCATTCTATCCCGTAAGGCGTCGTCGCTCAGTGGCGCGCGACAGTACATTATGTCAACCAAAATGTGTGTGCCCGACCCGTCTTTTCGTGCAGAGTTTCAGATTGGGCTTATAAGTGTCTAGTGACGAGTGCGCTTATTCGTTTTTTCTATAAAAAGTGTCTTAATTTCGAAAGTGCATGGAGCTGCTGAATTTTTTGACTTCACCTTGAGTGCTGGGAGCAGAAGGGTTCTGTGCACCCCCCCCCCTATTCTGTCAGTGGAGTCGACGAAAAAATTCACCTGTAAGCATTTCTGATGCTCCGTAAATGTGAAGGAGGGCTGTAAATGGTCTATATGGGGCATAAAAGGGTTTTGCAAGCGTTTAAGACAGCTCTTGTAAAAAAGCAAATAAGCGTATTTAACAAGGAAACGAACCTCCGTAACGCGTCTACCAATCCTTCGTCCTCCCAACTGCGCCATGGCTGCACATTAGACTGGTTGGTTCTCGTATAAAAGCAAAAAGGTGACACGACGCCTGGGTAAAGTGTGTCGGTAACTTTGTTCCCAGAATCGTTTGGCATCTTTCATAGTCCACGACCAGTCGCGCGACTGGTCGCGCGACTGGTCTTGGACTATGAAAGATGCCTTTCGCAGATTTGGAACCCAGATTTGAAATCAGCGTTCGAAACTGCTATGTCTATAAACCTCTAGTCTTGAATGGCCTCTGCGTTTGGTATCCTTCCCTTCAGTCCTCTTGGCTAGGCTCTCGCGGTCGACCTGCCTGAAGTTGCAGAGATCGACCCGTAGTAGTCGGAGCAAAACATATCGTCGCTGTCCAATCCACTGAGAGCTTCATCATCCCTGTCGAGCAGCGATGACGAAGATCCTGGTGGTCGTCAAACTTTCGCTAAACTCTTCGATTCCGTTATCCGGGCTACTCATGATGGCAAAGAATCGCAAGGATAATGATACTCTCAGAGATCCTACTTATATACCTCGGATTTAAATTCATCACCGCCAGATTTGATATTACCTCGAGTAGCCACAAATATTGGGCAAAATTCGAATATTGCTGGATGGCTTGCGAAATATTCTCTCGTAGCCTTTGTTTTCAAATGTTTTTGACTGTATTCACACTTTTTTTTGGGAATGAACAAATTTTCAAGATGGAAACTGTCTCATCCCACGCCAAAGTCACGAAAAACTGGCTCGTCGTCAACGTGTTAAACCTGAGCATCATTAAATGATACGAGAAGTCCTATCATTATACATTGAAGAACTCCTCGCGATACCTTGTAATACTCTGTAAGTTCGAGGAACAGTGCACCGGTTTCATCCCGATACTTTTTGTTTATATTTGTTATTGTGTTAATAATCAATAATTCTTATACCGTTCATCTCAGCAAAAGGTTGGCGAATTGCTAGCAACCGAGCAGATTGTATGAATGGCGACTTCCGACAGCTACACATGCATACACAATATTTTGAGTCGCTCGGACAGTTACTCGACACGATTTCTCCTCTATACAGAACAAAGTTCGGAGGGCATCTCATAAGTAAGCTGAACGATCTAGAGAGAACAACAAAGGGCTCGCCTTGAATGACTTCCAACTTTACTGAAATATTAAGTTTATGTGCCGACATAGCATCTCGCTTTAAATAGCCTGAATGTTCTTTGTTAAAAGTAATTTCAAATTAGATATGCTATCTGTGATATAGGTAGTTCTAGTTACTTATGAAGTTAAAGATATTAGAACTTTAGGTCATATTTACTTTTGATTGCTAGTGTTAGTTATAATGTATTTGCTACTTCTTCTTAATCTCTTCATGATTCATAGTTGCTTCTCTGATTAGAGTTGGCGGAAAAAATCTTTGAAACAAATATAAAGTCGTTCAAGTCGATGGGCAGTAATCAGCTTCGGCAGCATCTAAACTCTTTGATCCTTCAGGTTTTATGTAACGACAAGCGCTTGATGAAATGCTGTTCTTCATCACCTGTTTCATCTCTGCCGTGAAGGTCATCCAGTCTTTTGGTCAGTTAGGTGTGAAGCGTACGATAACAGGAACGGAAATTTGGTCGGGCTACAACACATATAATGACTTTGCGATGAATTATGATGCATTCTACGCATGATTTCACATGCAATAGAATTGCCATCCATACATTTTCCTATTCTAATGTACAAGTCCTCAACCTGTCACATATACGACGCATAGAAAAGGACTGTGGGCAGCGTCACGGGCTGATGTGAGGTGGCCACGGGGTTGCATTCATCGTGTCATTCTTCAGAGTCGTCTCTTACACAGACGGAGAACGTTCATTTCTCTTGTCGAAAGAACAGGTCACGTCGCATATGTCGCGCCGTATCCCCTTCGGTCTCTAGGTTGTCACGTTGAATCGTGAACGAATTATGCGGTTGAAAAATTTTCCCGCGCGCGGACTTTCGAAGTAACACCAAGCGATGCTGTAGTGGGCTGGTACGCTTCTAGTCGGCGATCATCTGCAACTTAACTCTCTAATGTCTCCATTTGCGGCGGCGCAACACTATACGGCGTCAGAGCCATAGGACCGCGTTATAGGGCAAAGTGGGTACAGTTTCACCTCTTCGGTTTTTCACGTTTTATCCATGGTTTTTACTCTCAACTTCAAGAGGGAAGGGGCTCCGGGGTGGGTGAGCAAATTGGTTTTTTACCCCATCTCGGCTTTTTGCGCGAGGTAATCATCTCACCCACCCCGGAGCTCCTCTCCTAATGGTCAAGTAGAACGATATTCTTTCGGCTAAGAACCATCTCTACCAAATTTTAAAGCAACAGAAAGAAACAAGCAAGTCTCAAGTCTTCGTAGACTTTGTTTTTCTCGTTGTTTTAAGGTGTGGCTCCTTCGACTCTTCCATTTGAATGCAAATTTGTTCTTCGAAAGTACTCTTACTTCACGAAAATTTAAACCGAGAGGGCCGGGTGCCTGTTGGTGAATTTCCGTTTCTGTTGCGAATCAAGGGCACGCAGTCGTAGTATTAAGTGGCGTTTGGGGGTAACGGGTGCTTCAAGAGTTCAGCGGTGTGCTATGTTTCAACCGACGTCCGAGAGACCGACCGTGTTGCTGGCCATGCGTTGACAACGCTGGACATCGATCAACACCGCGCGCGCAGGCCTGAGCGGGAGCTGCCCTGCGTTGTCAACGATCGGTACCTCGGTCGTCGATTGGCCGCTTTCAGACTTCGACGTCCGTCCGTCCGGCGCGTTGCGGTCGTGTTGGTGCGTGCGACGGTGGCCCTAGCCACTTGTTCACCACAATGGATCACTGGATCACGCGCCAACAAGTGGCTAGGGCCGCCTTCGCACGCACGCAACGCCGCCGCAACGGACGTCGAATTCTGAAAGCAGCCATTGAAACAACGTACTTCGTTGAACCTGAAAGCACCCAATCGAGGAGGTGTTAGTTGAAAATTTGGTAGTTTCTGAGTCGGTAGTTGCTTTGGTGGTCCGAACACTCTGTTCTGACAATGTGTTTCGCTATAGATTAAGTGTGGAAGCTCTCCTACACATTAAGAAATTTGGTTTTAGGTTTAATTGCTGTGTACAAACTGTGAAAATAGCATATGAGTTGTTTTGTGAATAATCCTTTCATTCAATTGTTTCTGACGACCGACCATATTTCTGTTTTCGAAGTGTAGCTATCAGGGCATCAGAATTCTCTGCAATCACATATACACGTGTATATATATATATATCATATATATTTATATATATACACGTGCAGCTGTTCAGTATCGTATTATATGACTATGTATAGAATGTAAGAATACCGTAAAATTGAGTTTGTTGTTGATCTTTCTATTGTACACACTTGTCGCATTATGCGAGTTATTGATAAAAAGGTACCCACAGTTGAACAGACTTTTTGTCATTCGGTGAAAGCGCCAGAATATATGTTTAGTCTTCGGTTATTAGTTCCATTGTGCATCCTGGATGAGCTTCGTTCTCAATTACTTGACTATTTACACTAATTACCAACTGTGAATTCAACTTTGTTATTTGTCTAGTTCCTGTAGTTGTCAGGGATCGGGTGAAATGACGACTGGCGTTCGATGGAGAATGATTTGTCTAGCAGTGTTATTGGCACAGATTATTCCGTCTGGTAAGTATTACCCTTTATGTCAGCATATAATTTTTTTTGGTGTTATCCTGAAATCTCGGATTATAGATTGTGCGTTTGGAGCAATCTCTATTGACCTCGGAAGCCAGTTCTTGAAGGTAATGGTGTGTGTACGTGGCCGAGTGGTTCTTTTTGGTGCATTCGAATGGGTGTGGTGCAGTTGAATCTAAATGATCGCTTCGCGGGTAGAGCGACGTCGCGCACGAAGGAATGTATTAGGTTGATGCATAATTATTGCGGATTTTTTCGCGGCTTTTTTTCTCTCGATAGAATTTGAACAATGAGTTCGGCTTTTCTCCTGAAATGATCTACTTGA